TATATTAAATTATAGTGTATTTATATATAATTAAAAAATAAAACATAAAAATAAAATTGAATAAAAATTTTGTAAATTAAATTAATGTTAAAACATATTATATAATATTTTACTATTATACTACCTTTTAAAAACTTTATGTAACAATATAATATTATACCTAATAATTTACCTCGACTTTGAAAGTGGATGCTATCATGTTATTAGGTTATAAAGTCTATTAATACATGTTATACATATTACTGTACTTGTACACATATTATTAATACAATAATAAAATACGCATTTTGAGTTGCTATTGATCAATTATATATTAATAAAATTATAAGTGCATTTTGTAACATTTTTAATTTAATTAGTTACCTAATATTTAATAAATGACTTTACCCATTAAGCTCAATTGATTTATGAGAGCAAAAAATAAGTTATGTTAATTTTTAGGTTAGGATAGTTTACCAAAGGTGAATTGACATAAATTATTGAAAATAGTGAAAAATGACAAATTAAATATTACAGTTATTAGTTTTATATTTTTATGGTTAAAGTTTAGATTAATTTCACACCATGCATAGGCATAATAATAGTTATTATTTTGTTTAAATATTGTATGATGTAGTTATAATAAAGTTTCAAAATTAATGCCAAAAATTAGAGTTTATTTCAATGAAAACATTAAACAAATTAATCCGCAATACATTTAATAAGTTTAAACTCATTTAACGGGATAAACTGATCAGGCTACCCGTTTCCAGATAATGACAGCCTCGTTTTTAGGTCTCACCTCACCCTCGGTCATTTTGAAACGCAATGTTTTGTGATCTCCGCCACCACTCGTGGCCACGTAAATTAGGTCGCTCCAATCACCTAGCTTAGTGTGGACGTCGGTGGCTACTTTCTCCTTGACAATACCGGTTTGAATTTCGGTCAGCACCGGGGCATTATCTTGCTGCCTCTCGCCAAATGGGGCACTTGAACCGCCCTCAGCCCGGAAAAATAAACCTGCATATTCTTTGGTGATATCGTCCCAGGTCATTGTAGGCCATAATTCGTGAGGGTCCTTTTGACTGGACAATTGGGTGTATACAAACCCTACTGGTATCAATGTATCTTGGACTTGGGCAGCTATTTTCTGGATATCATCTTGGGCAGAAATTTGGTTGCATAAATATTGGGTTGCATTTGAGCTTGCTAAATATTTAAAATTAAACAGTTACTCAATTAGTGTTAAAAATATTTATTTTAATTAATTTTACTTACAGCAAGCAATTAACAATAATAGAGCGAATGCACCAAGGTTGCCCATATTTGAAACTTAATGTAGTTGTTACAAGTTATATGTAATATAATAATTATTTTTGTGCAATGCTAGTTTATATATTATTTTCTAATCAATAATTAAGATCAATTTCACGTTAACACTTAACAGCAGGCTCTCATTTGGGGAAAAGAATATTGATAATTTAGCTAATATATCAATAATCTTAATGTATTTTTAAAAATTTAGAGCATATAAAATATTCCGAATGGGTATCGGGTATATGTTTTATTAATTTTCCTAATAATTGGTTTTTCATAACATAAACCAATGTATTTGACATTTAACCCCCGAATTCATACATTAGTGTAAAGCATAAATTCAGATTATATTTAATATTTGTTAAATAAAATAAATATCAAGTACTTAAATATAATTTTATTGAGTAAATTATTTAATGTATTAAATATCAATTATAAATGTGAATGGTGTTTAATAAAAAAAAATCATCAAAACATAATACTTTGTCACATATTGCACAACAAATGAAAGAAATATTTTTACAATTGATTTCTTCACAAAAATATATATCATTTGAAAAACATATTTGTTTAACAGATTTATATTCTAAAGGTACACTAAAAAATGCTTTATTAAAACAATGTCATTAATGGCACAAACTTTTCACTTGATAATTGTTCCCAAATTAATGAAAACATTTTCATAATAGTATACCTTTCATACAATTTTATATCCAATTCTTGATATTCTAATTCAAAACTAATTTTGCGATAAAAAAATGTCAATAGATGATTAAATTCTACGTCCAGTGGTTGACATAATTCTGTAGTATTTTCCAGGATTTTTAATGTTTTTATATTCACGTGTTTTCGATTCAAATTCTTATTAAATTCTGTATTCCAATGACAGGAATATGAGTCAAGGGTTAATAAGAATTCAGATTTATTATGAGAATTTGTATATTTCTTTACAGAATTTTTTATAAAACAACTCTCTAACCCACTTATTACAGGTTGTTGTATGCATTTTACCACTCGATGTACAGTCTACCCTGATGTTTTTGAGCTGTTTTTCTAATTTCCTAACTTGTGGTAACACATGAACACCAAATTTTCCATTGAGTTCTTGAAAAGTAATAAACAATTTGCCAAAAGTTTTACCAGACATTGAAATTGTTGGCATAACAGTATATGAGTGTCATTGCTTGCTTACTTTGAATTTTTACTGTAACTCGTTTTTGCCCTTTAAATGCCAAGGTCCTTTTAGGGACTAATTCTTTGAAAAATGGAGTTTGGTCAGAATTTAATATTATATTATAATTAAATGAATTTTTATAATTCTTATCAAAATTGTCACGAAATTCTTTAATTTTATTTTCGATTAATGGTTTGTTTTCAACAGTCTTTTTGGTCACGTACTTGGTAACTTTACGATCGGTAATTTCGTACTGTTTTTTAAAACTGTTTATAAAGTTGATACTTGCACAAAAATTATTATAATTTAACGTGATTTTTTAATTGCTAACAATTTTAGTTTATTATCCGACATATGTATAAAATGTTTACGTTTTTCGACAAAAACTTTATATAAATATTTTTTAATTTCTTGAGCTTTAAAATTATTAAATCCAATGAAATTATTTTTTATAAAATTCTTAATTTTATAAAATAATTTCATTTTATCACACTTTGGACATTTACTTTTGAGTGTTTTAAAACTATGGTTTGGGTAAATTTGCATGTAATTTGCAATATGTAAAATATCCTGATAAGTCAGATTTAACTTATCAGTACGTGTTTCACTAGTCGAATATTCTGTATCACTTTTATCATCATAATCACAATCAGTAACAGAATATTCTTGATTTGAATTTGTATTGTTATATTTGTCAACCAAATTGTCAATAAAATCTAATGATTTTTCACTTATTCTGAACAAATCATTATCACAATTAACTTGATTACCATTAATAATATTAGTAATTATTAGCAATACTTGTTGAACATTTATAGCACTCATTATAAACAATTTATTTATATAATTTTTTATATAATTAAAAGTATTTATAGATTGTAGCATATATTATATAAAAAATACTTGACAATTGTATTTAAATATATGGGTTTATAACAAAATATTAACCAATTAGTCGATGTATTTATTATTTGAGATATGTAAACACAATTAAATTTTTGTCAACAAAACATTGTAGTTACCTTGGTAATAATTACGCGTTTTATAGATTAAAAGTATAATTAATTTTACCCATTATTTACTTATTAGTTAGGTATGATGGGTGAATTTATATTTCATTTATAATGATTCATTATTTATGGTAACAATTAGCCAAGTTGGTGAACCTAAAATGACCAGTATTACTATATACTGCATTACAGTATAATGAGAATACTCGGGCATATTTGTGAAAAATGTTCATTTTTATTCAATTCTCAGTTATTAGAAAAATTAATTAAAAATATACCCGATACCCATTCGGAAAATATTTTATGCTCTAAATTTTTAAAAATACATTAAGATTATTGATATATTAGCTAAATTATCAATATCCTTTTCCCCTATTGAGAGCCTGCTGTTTAGTACTTAGCTTTATTTAATTACTATTCAAACAACTTATATTATTATCATAACTTAATTTCAATTGTATGTTTTTGTACTAAATGAAAGTAAATAGTTGAAATTATTTCTCTTATTATAAAGATAAAAGAGATTTTCAATGATATTGTAATGAATTATTACTAATGATTTTTTAAAAAAATATTAATCAATTAATATAATTATAATATTCAACTAATATTTTTCTATATTATATTTTATGAAATAAATACTGAAAAATGTTATCAATTATTTATAATGACTAATTCATTAATTTAAGACATAAATTAATTTTTAATTGACGCAAAGTTAATGTTTAATTAAAGTAATATCAGGAATTTAACATTTTTAATGATAATAGTTAATTGATTTGTATATCTATTGAATAATTGATAAATAATAAATTAGCAGTGTACATTTCAGAGTGCGGCATGACAAACACATTGCGGTTAAGATGCACTAAATTTATTTGCTACATACTTTAATATTATACAATATTATTATAACAAATCTATTTGTAATCAATTCTATTCACTATTAATAAGTAAAAAAATAAAAACTGCACTTAATTTATTTTGTTAGGAATATATTTTAATTTTAATTTCTTATACAGCTACATTACAATATCTACTAAGGACTTGTTTAATAAGTTATTTAAACATTCCTAACTAATTAATTAAAATAATACTTTAAATTACCAGTACTTTTAATACTGCCTAATATTTAACAAATTCAATGACTACTCCTAATAGCAGCTATAAGTTCCGGTGCCGTATAGGGACCAGTATATTCACGGGGATCAGTCTTATTAGTGCCAAAAATTAATATTGTAGGGAAGCCATGGATGTCATACCACGAGCCCAGTTCCCAATAAAGGTCTCCATCGACTGCACCCACTTTGGCGACCCCTTTAAGGTCTTTGGCAAACATTTTATACTCGGGTACAAATTGGATACAATATGGACACCAGGGGGCGTAAAATTCCACAACCCATTTGGCCGGACAGTTAATAACCAAAGTGTCAAAGTTATCAGGATCCAATTCAATGACGTTTGAGTGGTTGCCGTATAATGTATGACATGTTTGGCATAGACTTATGATAACTAATAATAAAACTTTTGGAAATAAATTTTAATGCCCTGAATATATACTAGTTACATTTAAATAAATTATAGTGTACCTTTTAGTAAGTTCATTGTTATGTATGTTAAAGGAGCTCAGTCAGACAATATTAAAAATAATTATAAAGTAGTATAAGACTTATTAAATCTACTAAAATATAAATATTTTACAATGTTTACACTATGTTTTTATAATTATTAAATAATATTTGTACAGTATTATATTATATTATTATATTTGAGTACTTGCATGATGTGTCATGATAATGATTAACCAAATATTATAATTGTATTAAAACAATATCATTGTTATTGTTATTCATAAATAGTTTAGAAATTAACATGACATTGAAATATTCAATTAAATCCTTATAAAAACAATTCAAAATACAAAATATAATAATTATAAAATTAAATGAGATATTACGATATAATACATAATTGTTTTCAAGTATCATAAAAATACAATTAATTAGTTATAAAAGTATTCATTTTAAAAATGCAATAAAAGCTAAAATTTTGTTTTCCACTTAAAATGATGTTCAAAATAAATGTTAATTTTAAGCAAGTGTTGAATCGGGTCTATGTTAACTATTGTACCAGGTAGGTTTTATATTATAAACTAATGCATATTTTAAAAATAAATACAATATACAAGCATTTAATGAACATCAATTATCTTAGTCACCATGGTAATCGATTGGATGGGCCGATCTCCAGTTCATTGTATCAATCATGTCTAGTCAAAATAACCAAGTTCAGTTTTTTTGTGAACCTTTGCAGTTGATTAATCCCTATGTGTGGGGTCTCGATACCAAAAGACCCCTTATATGTACCGGTTTGGTATACAACCAACGGTTTGGCTATTATTATGTTGTACCGCCGTATACCTGCAAACGTACCATGATGATCTTGGTTACTTCGATATTCATTTCTAGTTGAATATAATATATTCTAAGACTGTAAACACCTAACAGTAAACGGCACCATACAAAAAAAGGTGACAAGATACCCTGATCCATTTATGTGACACCCGATTCAACACTTGCTTTTGTTATGTTTGAAAAGTGAAGCAATTGTTTAATCGAGTGTTTCATATATGGTTTGTTCGCAACTCATTTAACATTTTATTAAAAATGTGTAAATATTTATATTCTTTAAAAATTTCATGTTTTATTTTATACTTATAAAAATTTATATAACCATTGTCTCAATTTTTAATAAATATCAATTATTATTATTTATTTTAAACAAAT